ATACAGAATTCAAACCCTAAACCAGGCACATGAGATGCTGACAGTGAACACAGAAAATGTTCTGTGTATTGCTGGCTCTCCTCTCTCCCCAAGCACTCTGTAAAGATCTAGGGTCATTCTGTACAAGACCTATTGGATTAATTCACTTACAGGATAGGCTTAAAGATACCACTGTCTATAGATTATTAACATTTTTTTCCTCATCAAAGAAATAAGAAAGCAACTAACCATTCAGACTTTGTGTAATGAGTAAGGAACTGTGTTTATAAATTTTACAATTATTTCCCTTCCACAGTCTCTTATCTTCTAGCTCTGGGTTCACCTTTCTTTTCAAATTATCATCTTCTGAAAAGTTCAGTCAATTAAAAAAGCTTAATAATGTCTTTTTTTTTTTTTTTTAACACATCAAGAATATAGAAGCTTGCAAGATGAATAAAACTCTTACTATCTACTAACAAAGAAGAAGCTTTTAATCAAAGAACAGCTATTGGAAAGGGAAAATGACATCAGTGAAATCTATAGCTGTAATCTTTGGAGCAAAACAATGCTGCTTTACCACAACTGTGTGGAATCAAACAACTGAAAAACAAACCTAAACAGTTGTCTTTTAGACAGTAATTTGATTTTTGTTGCTGAAGATGACTTAAAACCACAGTCACTCTGCAGCCCACCACAAAATGCCCTGAAGCTAAAGTGAATGTTTCAAATTATTTCTACCACATTTGGAATTTGACCTTCAAGATAAAATCTCTTAAACTGGGAAGATGGTAATGTATTGTACTTTCCAAAATTCAGGAGATCATTCAATCTTTAAATAGACTAAGAACACAGAAAAGAAGCACTTTTTATGGTGAGGAAAAGATGCCTGTCCAATTTCTTTGAAAAACTTTCTGAAAATAATTGTAATGCTAGAAATCTATGCTTTGAATCCAGTCATGTGAAAAACTTGTATGCTTTTGAGCTCCAGAAGCAGAAATTATTCATATGGAAGGCAATAAAAGATAGATTTATTTTATTATTGTGGTGTTTTCTCATAACTGTGTTCAAATACAATGCCTAGGAAAATGGACCTATATGACAGAGCTTTCTTCTCTACTTCACCACAAAAGCCATTTCATCTCCACAAATAAGAAAGGCTTCTACTGAAATTCAATGGAACAAAGTTTCAGATCAGAAAAAAGAGAAGTATCAGAATGTCAAAGTTTTCCTTGTCTATGCCAACTCTCTTGCAGAAACAGGCAAATCAGCAACTATCACTATGGTTCATCTGTTTCAGCAGCATATGTAACTAATTTATACCCATATCACATTCAATTCAATAACTATTAACCATGACAATTAATTGGAGAATTTCCTGAAACTAAATAAAAGAAAAAAAGATGCTAACCACTCATGTCCAAACTAATTTTAAAACTGAAAAAAAAAAAAAAATAGAAATCTCAGTGGTGTTTAGAGGAGTCCTGAATTTATAGCTACTGAACATCGTCTGTTGAACATCTTAACAATACACACATCTTGACAATACACACATATAACATCTGGTAAAGAGCAACACAGGAAAACCCTTGGCTAGGGCTTACCTTAAGGAAATTCTGCAATGCTTCTTCTACTGTTGAAGTTGGTGGAGTCCCAAAGAGAGCAGCAGCTACTTTCTTTTCAAAAAAAAAAAAAAAAGCTACATAGAAAAAAAAAAAAAAAAAAAAAAAAAAAAGGTCAGATTTCTTTAGACTTGCGTCTCAGTTTTGCAGTAAGTGCTGTCTTTACAACATATTTTGGAAAAGAACCTGTAAAGGAATGCTTTATAGTGTCAAGTTTGGCCAGCTCAAAGCAGTCATTTGTATTTTAGAGTCATATGACCAAACACCAACATCCTCAATACAAGGTTATTTCCATGTGTAAAGCTTAAAGTACATTTTAGGTTTCATAGCATCTTGCCTTTTTAAAAAACCTAAGACTAGAAATAGTGCTTGAAACCTGCTAAGGTCTTCATGAGACAGACAGCTTTGCATGACAATCTCTGCATTTGACTACTTTCTTACATTATGACTAGCTGTTGCTGCAGTAAAAATGTGGGTCTGGAGCTTGTATAACAAGTTCATTTATTACACAGAAGCTGGTGACAACTACTGTTAAGAAATAGGCTTCATTTTTAGCTCTTCCTACATGACAAGTAACACTTCCCAATGACCTCTTCTAATTTCAGGAAGATGAGCTGCTATAAAAGCACTTTAGGTAACTATCATATTGCTACACAATGCACATGATTTCTTCCCTTACATACACTGACACCTGACAGAAACTGCCTTGGTTACTGCCATAAGGTATTTGGCTCCAACACCCAACCCTCACATCTCTAGCAAAGGATGGAGTTGGTAAGAAATGCAATGTGAAAGAAGAGCCTGTTTAAGTAGAGGAGTGAAGCCACTTTCCTTTGGACACTTCTACCACACCTTTTTTCTTTTGTAAAGAAAAGCCAGGATTTTTTTTCCTTCTTATAAGTATTTGAACCACAGCACTGATGGCTCCTGTCACGGAGCAGATGAGTCAAAAAATGGTAAAAAACAAGGTTCTGTATTTTCTGGCCTGATCTATGCAGAGGCAATACAGAGAAGAGGCACAAACAGGCAAAGAAAGAGAGCCTCTCATCAGAGACTTGGACAGAGCTATGACTCACACAGGTACATCTCTTTTTCAGAAGGAGCTACAATTCAAATGACAGAGTTCAGCCTTGAACTCAAGTCTCTCCTACTACTATGAAATTTAAAATAGTTTTGCTTGGTTTTAGATTATTCCTGCCTCATTCCCTGGCTTTTCAATATCTGCAGGGCTGTTGCTGCTCCACCTATATCCAGCAATTTTGCAGAGATGTCAGATAATAATTGTAAATATGAGAATCCACTCTCTCATAACTATCCACAGCTACCAACTAGAATGCTTCTCCTTTGAACAGACATCAAGTTCTACCTACTTCTTGTTGCAAACAAAACATATGATTGCAAAGACCAGAAATACAGGTCAGCATGCAGCAGGAAAAACCACTGGGTCATGTTTTCTCATCTGGCCCCAATGTCTCTAGCCACAGAAGAGCAGCAATGCATGGAGACAGAAGGCATCCTGTTCAAGTCTTGCTAGCTGCTCAGCAGGGTCCCAAAGTCTTATTTGTTACATGTTGTCAGTAAGTGTCTCACACCCAAGAACTAAATGACAACCCAGAGAGAAACAATATTACAAAAATAAAGCTTTTGTTTTCATTCTCTTTCACATACCTCATCACTGAAGCTTCTTCTGAGAACATAAAATGTTTTTCACAAAACCTCTTCAGCAATCATGGAGTTCTTACTCATTGGAGCAACAAGATGTTGTTGCCCCTGCAGTGCTCCCCCATTTAATTTCTCTCACTGTTTTATAGTTTCTGAGACATATTTTGCAAGTTATTAAAAGAATTTTTGCCAAAGTGCTGTTTTTTTCACATCAATCTACTGCTGACTTGTTCTCTCTTCTCTTGGAAGAGGAAGGTGGTTTCTATATTTCTAGGTCCATCACATCAAGTAGAAGGAAGAGAGAGAGTAAAAATAAAGGGAATGTGCTACACTGTTCTCTGCAAAAGCATACAACACCCTGGAGATACACACTGAACAGACACAATTACTACACTCATGTCTGTTATGCAATAGTGAGGAAACAAAAATGCAGTTTTTCCATGTGGAGTTATAATTAACTATTGAAAACACAAGTTCTTCCTGGCAGTTACTTTATTTTCTTATGAGATTTAATCAGAACTGATTTGCTGAGGTTTTAGTCTTTATTTTGTCTGGCTTGGGTGCTGCTTTGCACTACTCAAATTTCTAAAAAGCCCAAACATATATGCAGTTATCCATTTTTATTTCACCATTCCCATCAAGCTAAAACAATGCTTAAAATTGAAATGCACATTTCACACAAAACCACCCACACTGAAAGGAGGTTGTAGCAAGGTGGGGGTTAGTCTCTTCTCCCAGGCAACGAGTGATGGGACCAGACAAAGGGGAGGTTTGGACTGGATCTTAGGAAAATCTCCTTTACTGAAAAGGTGGTCAAGCATTCGAATAGGCTGCCCAAGGAAGTGATAAAGTGATATAATTACCTTCCCAAAGTGTTCAAAGACATGTGGGTGTGGCACTTGGGGACATGGATTAGCGGTGAACAGGACAGTGCTGGGTTAACCGTTGAACTTGATCTTAAGAGGCCTTTTTCAATTCTGTGATTCTATGGCAATAGTGAGGTTTTTTTAATGTGCACTCTATCCAGCATTATACTTTGTGACTATTCCAGAGACGATCTGAGAATTCAGTGAGACTTATATGTCACAAGCTTTATGAATTTGTCACAGCAAGCCTAGCCCTCCATATATGAAGTACCTAGTTCACACAAGTTGTCCAGGTTCCTTGCACGGTCAATACAGAGGGGCACTTCCATTAGGCAATTCCTCTTCCCTACATTAGCCTGGGATGAACGCTCCTATCTTTCTTCAACTACAAATGGAGCACAGACCCTGGCGATAGCTAAAGGCAGCTGAGGTGAATCCCATCACAACAGTTTAACTGTGCCTGAGTCTGTCTGCACCCCTCTACAACTCAAGTGGGGCAAATGGAAAAGACCTGTTATATGCAACACACAAAATTGTGTCCCAGAGCAATAATGATGAACAGGAACCTATACTCTTCCCCTAAATGCACATGCAAAGTCTTTAATTTGAAATAACTTTATTTGAGTAGCTCTTACACTATGTTCAATGAAATGGAAACATTGTTCCTACTATACCAAGTTATTAATCATTCTCTGCCTGTGAACAAGCACAGGGAATAGAACCCCTGGTGTAACGTGCTCTAGCGTAGTGCAGAACTGACTGCTACAGTCAAGGTTACTCCAATAGTGCAAAGTGTATCTGGAGGTCCATACAAAATCAAGTAAAAAGAGAGGGTAACTATCATCAACTACAGCAGAACCATGATTTCACTTAGTGAGTGTTCCAAGAGTGGTAGAGTGCAGCAGGTAATAAGGTAAACTACTACTCTTGCAAGTAATAGCTACAACAAAATTAAGGAATGAAGATTGGTTTTGCCTACAGATGATTTCCAAATGTTAAGTGAGCTTTGGTTTTTTAGGTCTCCGAAATCCTGATATCAGTCCTGCCAGAAGCCTGAAAATTCAGAGAAGCACTGCAAGGAACACTGTATTTCCACAGAATATCAGGTTTTAATGTACTAGGCCACTCAAGGGACATTCACTCCAAACTGCCAAACATAAGGAGAGCTACCCCCACACACTCAAGAGCAATAAACAAAGGCCTGAGGAGCATCAACCAACTCCTGATCTCCCTTAGAGCTGAAGGGTAGTGGGTCATCCTGACAGCCTGGCCTTTGCCAAGAAGAGGAGGTCACTCTTCAGTATCCCAAAGTAAATAGAGATGCTTGTCTCAACCAACCTCTCCTACAGATCTGTCAACAAACTGCTATCCATTTATCCTATACCAAAATCTCTGTTATACTCAGAGATGGAAGGAAGTTGAAACTGCAGTTGAACGTTAAGTTCACACTTGGCACTCTTCCATCAGGCCTCTTGTATCTCTGACGGCCAAGGCAAAAAATGTGGTTCTCCCCTAAATATGAATTTCAAAAATAGCCATTTCTCTTCCTTAGCCTAGGATCAGCAAAAATCATATATATATATATATATATATATATATATATATATATATATATATATATATATATATATATACACACACACATACATACATGGGCTGGATTTTTGTCTTCTGTTTGTTTTTTATGAGAAGCAAACCCTGCCCATTGACAGCTCCTTTCAAATTCCAGTATGTTGGTACAAAGGAAACTAATCTGCCTGAATTGAAAAGCCATCCATGATCACAATTGTCTTCCATAAAGACAAATCACAACATTGATCCAGCTTCAGTAAAATATTAATGACACCTAATTAAATATCCCCATAGAATTTATTTTTCTTTTCTATTACAATGTATTAATGTAAAATTTTACTAAATAATTTTGCAATGTTTTGACTTCTGGAAGAGATTAAGTAACTGGACACCAATTTTGAAATACTGGCTTCCAACAAAAACATTCTCTTTCTTGCCAGCTGAGGAACCTGGACAATCTGCACAGGCAATTAGGTATTTATCCAACTTGAATTAGGCTTTTCACTTTCCAGTAAGGAAAACTCACTAAGAGAGCACACAAAGGAACTGGGAAAATTTATTCCCAGATGTAACCCAAACAGACACTAGGATACACCAGAGACAAATCCAAAACATGGCATATAACCTGCAGAAAGAAAATCCCAGGAGATCTAATTTTTAATACACTACTAGCATTTACCAGCAACTCTGATCCCATTTCACAAGTACATGCTAGCTGTTCTGTGCCTGTTCTGTAAAGGCAAGTAAGCATAAGTCTTAACTAGAAAGTTTTATAAGCTATTTGAAACATTAAAATACTTAACACCCCCTCCCCCTCAAACATACAATTGTAAAGAATTATCAGATAATTGTGCCCAAAACTTTAAGGAAATAATTCTTATATACCATGCACAATAGATCCATTCACTCCTTGTATACACAGCAGGTCTCATAGGGAAAATTTTGCCCACCATGACATCTATGAAATGACTGGTGAAAAACTTGCCTACTTGATTGTGATACCAGAAGTAATTTTTCTAACAGAGCTGATAGGATTCTATGATCCTCCTCTTTTGTACAGCTCTACTTATTTTAAATAGTAATAGAAATAAAAAACAACAAAAACTGATTTTTAGACAAGGTAGTGCACAACTGTCATTGGCTCTGCAACACAGACAAACCCCAGCTGATGTGAGGCAGTGAAAACCCAGCTTACCCTTTCTGCTGGAAGGTGCTATGACACCTTGCATCAGCTTCATTTCTGGCTCAGCAAGAATAACTGCCGAGCAAAAACTTGACAGCACTGTACTGCTGCTCCTTGCAAAGGACCGCGCTGCACTAAGGAAAGTAGGAAATGCAGTATTTGCATACAGATTTCAGTCTTCAATAAATCTTCTGCATCTGCCTCCACTGGTTTAGAGGTGACAGGATTGACAGTTGGACTTGATAATCTTGAAGGTCTCTTCTAACATTGATGAGTCTATGATTCTATACCTTTTACCTCAAAGTCTCCTCAATGGATTTTAATTTGTGAAAATGAACTGTACCCCTGAGTTACACTTGAAGCATCCCCATTTACAGTATCTTATGCAATTCCTGTTTGTCATCCAAAAAAAACATATGCTAGACAACAGTAATAAGATCCCCTAATATTAAATTGGGAGTGAATGGGAAATACCTAACTATAATAGGAAGACTTAAGTACATCAGATTTCACAAAACAGCTATCAAAGCCTATAAAACATCAAAAACTTGTTATCTTTTTTAACTACACTGCTTCAATAAAAGAATGTGACCAAAATAACACAAAAATACCTGGGAAGAAATACCTATGAAAGAACAAACATTGTGGCCAATCCTAACTTGATCCCAAAGTCAGCTAGGTTAAATGTAAAAACTAACCTTCTTGCCTGAATCATCCCTTTTCTGCTTTAATTATCTCACACTGGACAACACCTTCCCAGCCTTAACCACAGTGAGACTGAGCATTAGAAACAGAGCATCTAAGAGGAGCATTATCATTCCATCTACAGGTACCGGTACAGATGAGTGACAAAGGACTTTTTAAATACTCCATCATAATCTCTACCCTGACAAAGTATTTGGGTAGAGATGCCTCAGCCAACAGTCTTCTCTTGGGATAATTACCACAGCATGAAACTTCACAGTCTGCAGAACATGAGTGTGGAGTTGCGGTTTTATATGTTTTATTACATCTTTATTCTGTCATGGTTTGTTCCAGTGTACTCCCATACTGTATTGGCTTCTCCCTGAATTTTCCCACCTTTCCCCAAGTGTCAGTTTCCCTAGAAAATGCCAAGTCAGTTCCCTGCCCCCTCCCAAGTGCCTTGTCTGTCACTCGGTGCCCCTTCCCCTACCTCTAGAAACTTCCATCCAGGGCACCGAGTGATTGGATGAGGTCCTGGGACCCCTACCCTGTCTCCCCCTCACTGCATCCCCTCCGGTGCTGTTGGGTCCACAGGACCTCAATAAACATCGGATTTTCGCCCCCAACAAGTGCCTCTCCTCATTTCCTCGCCGTTGGAATCAGCAGCGACCTCAGGACCCACAAAGCACTCTCCAAAGCCCAGCCGGGTACAGCGGAGGGTGCTTCCACTCGCCCTACTCGCCCCGCAGGAGAGCTAGCCAGAGCTGAGGACAGTGCTCTGGGGCGGGGACGCGGCACATGAGCATGGGATTTGGCATACCTTCCAAAAGCTTTTATGACTACCTGTATCACATGCACGGCCAAAACCTGGGTTAGTGGATCAGCACAGAAACAACTCACTTTGCTAAAACTAGTGAGGATATTATCAATCTCACTGGGATAGGGTTAAAACTAGTAATGCCTCAAAACTAATGTTTCCAAATGACCTCATCTTGCTACTGAAAGTGTGGAAAGACAGTAAGTTTTTAAGAGCTGACAGCCCCAGAAGTTGAACAAGATGTTATTCAGTCCTATACTTGCATTTGTTTAGAGTACAAAAATCTGTTCTGTGTGTTTCAGGTTACTATTTTGCTACGGCAGTCACAGAAGGCAAGAATTAACAAAAAAAGAACAGAAATCTGAATTCAATCCTTACATATTTCAGTGGCTACATCTGTTTAGGTAGATTGTTTCGCTTAAATAAATGCAGGTCAGGTCATAACCTAAAGCAAATGCTAATCTGTGGTTTCAGTGTTTAGTAAGGAAGACCTGCATAGATGTTGCAAGTGTGGGATGTGAATTTGTAATGATACAGTACAAGAAACCACATGTATTACTGAGTCAGGAAGTGGTGGTTATCATGAAAATGAAACGAGTGAAAAAAAAAGTGCAGTAAGAACAAAGTGAGGTATACTGAGATTGTGTGTTTCCAAAAAGCAGCAGCTCACATGAGAAATACGCCATGGAAAACATCTGGGAGTATTTGGCTTAAATGGAAGCTGCAGTTAGCAGCACAGTATAAAAGTGCTTAAGGAATCATTGGCAAAAGAGATACTTCTCAGAGGCAGGACAGCAGGCATACTATAGAAACATCTTCAGCAACTTATTTTTGCATAGCTAATGCTGATATTCAAGAGTACGCTGTGACAAGCAAAAAGCCAAATTCCTTGAAAAATCTGGTGTAATTCCTTTTTCAAATCAACTGAGAAAAAACATAGCTGCTGAAAGCTCTCTGGAAGTTAGATATATGAACTGAAAAATTGCTGAAAGATTACTTTGCATTAAGTCTTGTTGCAGATAAAGACAAAGTCTGCAATGTGTCACAGCAAATCCTTCTTTCCAATTTGCTGCACTTTGTAGTGACTTGCATTGGAAGTATCCAAAAGAAAAAAGCTTGGCTGGAGTTCACTGTGCTTTAGCAGTCCTTATTCTGAGAAGACTCACAGTGATCTTTCACAGCATAGACAATACAAGAACGTTTTCTTCCAACAAAAGATTCCTCAAAGTACTAGAGATGAACCAGTACTAGCTGAGCCCTCAAAGATGTGGATTACCAAAAAGAAAACTCTCTTACTAAAGCACAAGCACAGTTTTTCTAAAAAAATTATTAACAGTAAATCCTGTAAACCAATTATTCTATTTTTTCATATATGAGTGCTTATCACTACAGAATCTACTACAATCTATAAAATATATGAATAAAAATATATAACTAAAACAATCTTTAAAAGCACCTGTTGTACTGGTATGACACAAATTGCATTTCTTGCAAAACTCATTTGTGATTTACAGATTTTTATGCATGAATATTTTTTGGACGTTCCCTTGGAATTTACCAAGCCAGTATGGTAGCCTTGCTGCCACAGGCATAATCCTGCAGCATGTAAGTGCCTTTAACTTAAGTTATGGATGGGAAGTAAAGCTACCACAAGGCTATGCTGTCAGCCCAGGTTCACCCCAAAAGTTTATGGCAGAAGAAAGAAGTAAACTCAAGAGGTCATTCTTCCTCCCTTCCAAAAATCAGTTAATTTTCATTCATTCATTCAGATAAAAAACCTGAATACAACAATGAGGGTCATACAAGCACAGCTTACCTAATTACATGGCAGGAATGGTCAGCTGTGAGCATCATGCATCTGGTAGTGAACTCAGAAAGTGTAAATATCTGCTTTATTTAGCTCAAAACATCTACTTAAATAAACACCTACTTTGTCTTAAGTCACACTATTTAATTATAATTTTTTATTATACTCAATCCATATGTCAGATAAATAAAACACAACTTACTGAATAGCACCACCTTCCATTTAGGTAATATAAAAAGGGATCTTGAGGTTTAAGTTCAATTGCCTTGTCTAGGTGCTCCTATTGGAAAGAAAAGTAGTATCGCTTTAGATGTTTGCCTGGCAAGCGTGTTTACATTCTAAGTAGTTTGCTGCAAGTCAGAAACAAATTCATAAATTCTCTTCTGCTGCAATTGTCTTCTAACAACCTCAAATTTTAACTAGCAAATCCCTTCCTCACGGAGGGAAACCACAAAATTATTTAGCAACGTTGCATGCAATGCAAGAAGGCATGCTGTATTTAGACATGACTAAATAGCTCTAAAGTTCAGTCAAATAATTCAAAACCATTTGTCTTTAGAAGGCAATTTCAAAGTTAATTTCATTTACAGTTAGTATTAGGAAACTATCACAGATCAAATCAGTGAGGAAGCAACTACTCCTGAACAGATCTTACATGCCAGCACCCATTACTGAAGCATTGTTCCTTCCACCCTGGAATGTGACAGCCCTAATGAAATGGTACTTGACACAACCAACTGTTATTATAATGTGAAATTCAGAAAATAAAATGGTTCTGTTTATAGTGAAACTACAAAACCTATAAAGCATCTAATGAGGTCCTTCCAGAATCATTCTCACTTCAGGTCATGAGTACCTTTATTTCTCTCTTTAATTCACCAAAGAAAGCTCTTATTGCTCAGCCTGAGCTGAAAGAAAAAAATAAGTATTTCAGCCCTACCATTTGCCTCTCAAAATAAATTTTGCTCGAACATTTATTTTTCCCCCCACGTATGTCTTTCTAATTAAGCCAGTGACAAAAGTATTTGACTTACACATATATTATCATTTCCACAAACTATTCAGAAAAGAGCTATGTTTTCATACTACTGTTTTCCCAAATCAACAGATTTCAGGATTTACTTGTGAGGAGCAAAACTTCCCTGAAATGGCTACTGCTCGCACAGTGGACTCTTTTAAAACTCCATCCCTGAACAGCTGCAGCACTTTGTTGTTTGTCATTTTTCCTTTGTTCCCAGTTTGTCTCAGTGCTCAGAGCTTAGCTTGCTTGGCACAACTCAGATGTAATTAATGCTCTCTCATAGGGAAGCTCTGCCACATTCCAAGTCCTAACACGGACATGATGTGAGAGGAGCCCATCCCAGGCATTCCCCACAGACTGGAGCATGTCTGTTGCCTTTCACTGTCACCCAGAAAGGGGGCACACCAGCTTGGAGGGCAAGGCATGGATGGAAAGTGTCTAAGCAATGCTGAGGACAAGGAAGAGGAGAGTAGCACACGTAACACCAACAGCTAACTCTAAAAAACACAATTACCTTTGCAAGGACAAAGTGTTAAAACAAACATTACTTAAGGGCAACATGAAGGATGACTGCAGAACTGTGGTAGTTCATCACTTACTATTTCATATGTTTTGGTTTGCTAAACAGAATCATTATTGCCTTTCCTCCCCCTTTGACTACAAAAGAAATGAGAAGCCTTAATGCTGTTCCCAGAATCCTACCTAAATTCTTATATTTTCCAAGCATATAATTTATTTTCATACATAACAATAATGTTTTCAATTTACTTTCAGCACCAAAATAGACCTGTGAGGCTGAATTACTGTGTTGGAAAAACCTGTCTTTGACACTATATAAGGAAATAACTTAAAGGAATAGCTTAAAAAACCCCAAATCCTACAGAAACATACCTTAAAGAGATAACCATTCCTGATTTTGTTTTGTATACTTTCAAACTGAGACATATAGCCACACATAATTGCAAACCTGAGAGGGGAAAAGAAAAACACACACACATACTTTTTGTGATTTAAATAAACCTTTAAATCAAATTACAAAATATTTCAATACCTAATGCACACATTTACACCTTTTTTTTCAATCTGAATGGCTGGATGGAAGTTTGGCATGAGCTATACATATTCAGGAACAGACAAAAACACAAATCAAGACAAAAGAATGGAAACCAGGAGAAGTTTAAATTGACACTATTTGGGTTGTCAGTTAAGTGAAAAAACAGATTTCTCCTACAAAATTTAAGCCATTTAATTCAGAGTGCAACACTTCCAGACTGGCTCTACCATTGACAGTTTACCTTGACACATTGTGCTTTGCACTTCACTAGGAAGGTGAGCACCACCAGCTGCAGAAACTCACCCAGGAAGGCAAATGCTTGGGGTGCGCCCAATAGGAAGCTGTGCACACCTCAGAAACATTCACAGTTGCCTTCTACCCTTCTCAAGTACCCCAATGCATTCCTGCACTTCTGACATTATTCTAGTATCCTTAAAATTTGAAAACATACACACATATTCTGCTCTAATAGGATCACTACTGCTATTACTATATGTTTATTGCTAAGATCATTATTATTTCTATTATTATTACTGTGGTTATCATAAACTGGGGACATTGAATAGAAAAAGAAATGTGAGAAAATTTCTATCAAATATTTGTATTTTTAAGCAGGTATAAGTAAAAATATTTTCAGAGGTAAACCTATAAAGCTTCAGATCTCCTAAGCAGCACCAGTATCTTATTGACACTTCACCTAAATTTCTATTGTTTTCTTCTTATTTCTTCAACAGTTATAGAACCTCTATGCATAAGGGATCTCTTGCACAGATATCAATTGCAGTTTCCTTGGACCTATTTTCATTGGTATTAAGACAACTTTGCACCTCTGTGTAAAACTAAGAGAACCACCAAAGAAATAGTTAAACAGCAAAACCTCATGTCAATTATTTTTCTAATATTTTTTGGAATTTTTCTGTTTTATCAAATATTTTACAGTGCAACAGCAAACAAAAATAAAAAATAATCTTAAAAGAAGGAAATCAAGTTAAAATCCAGAGGAAAACATGAGTTATGCAAGAAGCTTATTGAGTTTATTTTGGTAACAACCACAATCTGTATGGCACATACAGTTTTAAAGCACTATTAAACATCAGCTTTCTTGAATTTCTTTATATAATGCAATTATTTAAGCTACAGTGAATCCTCATTAAAATGACATTGCTAACACAACCCAAGAAATTATGTTATTGCTTACAGTTATGGTTTTAAGTTAGAAATGCTCATGCTACAGGTTGTTTTGGTCAGTAGTGGTTAGGTCAGTAAGTGTTTCCAGGTAAGGCATGGAGTCAGCAGAACAGCAGTTGAGCTTGTAAGAGCTCTACACAGACTGTCAAACACTGTTGAGCAGGGTGTTTGTTGTGACCAATGTGCACTGGACAAAATCCACCTAATGGCAGCACTAGTGCTGACAGAGCTACAGCCAGAGTGCATTTCCTATGGGAATGAGCTGCAGTTGAAGGAAAAGGCAAGGGGTGGGGGTGAGGAAAGTTCAGGTATTTAGAAAGAGGGGGGAGGTAGTGAAAACTTTATTAGGGTTAAGTAACTCAGGCAACACTGCCCCTATTCCCTTCATTCATTAAGTGCTAATCAGATAAACTCAGCATACCATAGCTAAACGGATTGCTGCTACAAAAGAAAACAATGAAAAGCGAACAAGCTAATCCAGCATCTTGCAGTATTTCCCTGTCTGTGCGTGACAAGAAAGAGAGCCTTAGTTTAAACTAGTTCAAAGAAAAATTTCTACTTACAGCTAAAATCTCTTGGAAGGGAAATCCCAATTAAATTTTCACCGAATTAAAAGTAAGCTAACCTACTAACTTTAAATATCCATTATCTTTCCAAAGAAAAAATAAAAATGTCTTTAATATCTTTATTGGATTGTTGGGTTTTTTTTTTTAATTTGGTTTGGTTTTTTAAATTTTATACTTTTGAAATGGGCTACACAGCCAGCTGATATGAAGTAATTATTTAGTTTTGAAATTCTATGGCATTTTGGATATTAATTTCATTTCTAAAAGATCCCTCAAACAAAAAAAAAAAAGGTGTCTTTTCTTTCCTGAGAAGAATTTTAGATATTTTAAATAATTTTCAAAGAGTTCAAAACACAAGGCAAATTTCTATTTCCATGGTGCAAAATGTTAATCGTTGAATGGCCTCTATTGTAAGGGACTTTAAAGATTGTGTTTCAACTGCCCTGCCATAGGCAGGGGCCCCTTCCACTAGACCAGGTTGCTCAAAGCCCCATCCAGCCTGGCCTTGAACACCTCCAGGGATGTCCATTCTCTGGGCAATCTGTTCCAGTGCTTCACCACTCTCATGGTGAAGAAAATGACCAAAGAAAACGAGGCAGGGAGTAACCAGAAACGCTTCCATCTGGTTCGTGTTATTCTTTCCACGGCCACCTGCCCCATCTCGTGGTGACAGGGGGGATACTAAAAAGATCATACAAAGACATGCAAATATCTAATGAAATGGGTAAAAAGTACATCTGTTAGAAGTGCAAGTGATACTGGTTCCCTGCACAGCCATTATCTCCCTCACACCCTTTGAATGTCAGAGTACTGCTTACAGAACTTTCACAGACAAAAATAAAGAGGAAATTGTATCAGCAAAGAGCTGCCAGGAATGACCTCTTTGCTGAGTAATGTAAAATATCAGCCCCAGACACATTCATCCAGATAAACACAAAAATAATTACCTCATTAAGACAGACACCATACTTCCGTTAGTGTAAAAAAAATTATATTCCCAGATGGAAGAAAAATTACTGAACACAGTGTAGCAGCATATGATTAACTGCCACAATTAACAAACCTTTATTAAGCATAAACACAATCAAACAAACTCAATATAATAGGTCAGTGCCATGTTCCTCTATTACACATGATGTCCTGAAACTCAGACTTGCAAGAAACTCTAGCTGACAGAGATGGATGCCAAGTACCTAGGTAGCCATCATGCAGAAGGTCCCAATCAAAGTGAATTAACATTTTCTCTTCTGGTGCTACATGTGTATTCAGGCCATGGAAAACTGCAAGAGGCATATCTTACCTATTGCTAAAAAAAAGAGTAGAGGTTGATCCAATAATTTTAGCAAGCCAATTTGAATTTTAATATCAAAAATGATACCTACACTTAAGATTCTATCAATCCACAGCTTATTCTACATGAGACAGATTTACAGAAAAGATTTTGAAGTCTCAAACGAATATGAAGCCACCTAGGGCATTTAAATATAGCATTATTTTTATTTTCCCTGATAAATTTCACATGGCCAAAACCAGAAATAATATGCACCTTCCCAGACTTGTTCCTTCCTCTCATATATACTCTTTTATATATCCCAAATCTAAAAAAACCTTTTATGCCACAAAGACTTTGGAAATGTGTGGGCACAGGTTACATTTAGAAATCTAGATCTCCATTTTGGCATCTCAGTATCAATACAAAAGGAAAACACCAATTTTTAAAAATTGTGTCTTACAAGACTTTGCAAATGGGAGGAGAGTTTGTGATATATTATGTTTATAATAAAACCACCAAAGTTTAATGAATGTGTTTCATAACTGTTTTTCATTCCCTCCTCCTTATCTGAGAAATATTTAACATGTAGTGTGATGCAAAGGCTAACATGTGGGCAGCACACAAGAGGCCCAGTGAAAACAAGGTTCATTTCCATTCCAGTTCTAAACGTGTTTTTGCATCTCCCCACATCTGCATGGCTTAGTTTTGTGCATGCCATCTTATGTTTTAGCCCCCAACACCCTCACTCACCAGCTTCACCCACTTACATATTCTGACAGTCTCTGCAATGCAGTGAGACCCACAGGATTTCTTTTTGACATGATTTCAATGAGATACCAATTTCTACGTAGGGAGATTTTGCAACTGAAATTACTGATTATGATCCCTGTTGCACTGCCCTTCCTGAGATCCTAGTTTTGCATACTTCATATTGTATCACTTTGCTACCAAGATATTTAATCTACAAAAATGAATCTGACACAAAGTTTCCATGGAAAGGTATTGGCTTGATATGATCATCCTCATGGTTATATGGATGCAGTGCCTGAGAATGTCTAACATTGCCAACACACCAAGTAAGATGTGCCAAGGTACAAAGTGAAGCGTTTAGATGACCTTTTGTTTGCAGAGATTTTATTGTTAATGTGGATTTCGTTTCCCTTTCCTTTTTCTGGGAATATAACTGAGTCCACACTGAAGAAACTGGCAGAAATACACTTTTAATATTGAAAATTCACCAGAGCATTACAGCTGAGCTCCAGAGAAACATCAGATGTAGCACACACCTGTGTAGGTAACACTTGCCAAAACATAAGAAATGAACCCTTACTTTGGTTTAAAAAACCTCAAAGGTAAGGACATAAAGAATTCTGGCTTGATTTATTGCAACACATGCAGTATACCAAATCAAGGGAAAATGCTGTTGTTAATGTGTATTCACAGAAGTTCACTAGTAGAACATGTGGATGCCATGTTCAGCATTCCTTAGGCTGTGAAACCCACAATTGTGTTAAATTCCTGTTCCTAGAAATTTAACCTTTTTTTTTTTTTTAACAGACAGTTGTTACAGATGGAAATAAAATCTTGAAGAAATTAGCAGGACAGTAATCAAAAGTGTAGAAACAGAGTGAAACAATAGCTTTCAGAGACAGTAACACAGCAATTCTCCTTGACAGAAATGTAATAGGCATCACTAGGTTGTCAGAATTATTTCCTCTGTGACCATTCTGGCAAAAGGTTCTAATAAAGAGATCTTTCAACATGTCAAACCTTGCTCCTTGCATTTCCCTGAGTATGCTGCAGTGTTTCCCTGATCCACTTACTTCAGGACAACTTGCAGCTTTTGAGAAATGGCTTCTGAATTTGAAATTTTTAATTATTTTTAA